TTTGATTATATACTAGCTGTGTATTAGATAATGTAAGTTAATTGTTATTGTAAAACTTATTGTTGTGATCAATACAAATTGTATTAGATTAGCTCTAGTTTCATTTTGAAATAATTAAGTTAATTACTTTGGATTAAGGGATTAATAATAATGGTGATCAAGAAAATGGGCCAAATCAAATCACCACCACCCTCGATTGTGATTAATAGATTGTGATTTAGTAATAATAATGATGAAAAGGCTAAATTTTGATTGTTACAATTGATAAACTACAACGGGCTCAACAATTGAAAGTTAATAAACAATTTAGAAATGAGAAAACGAAACAATTAAATTTAATTTCAACCACTTTCAATGAAGGTTTCATTTTAAAATCCATTTACTTTTTTAAATTATATCAACTAATCAACAATGAATGAATAAAATATAATAACAATAACAATGACAATTATGATGATAATAATAACAATCAACAATCAAGCAAACTAATCAACTAACTTTAACTGTCAATGAAAAAAATATAAGATTAGTTAATATTATTATATTGTGAACGATGATGATGATTAGTAAATTGTAACAAAAACAAAATTTGTTAATATACCTTGGAAATGATTATGTTGATTACAATTGTTAACCCTGGTGATCTATTAATTTGATCATTCACTTCCCATTGATCAAAATTAATTGTTCAATCAATTGAATTTAAAAATGAAAAACTATTACAATTGAATTAAAAGTAATTGTTATCGTAATGGAAACAAAGTTTTCATTCAAATGTTTCCAGGTAACAAACAACTAATAACAATCTTTGACTGTTGATTGAATCTCATTGATTGTTCAGGGAAAGTTAATGATGATTAAGATGATGATGATGATGATGATGATGCAGAAGAAGGAGGAGAAGATGAGGATGAGGATGATAAATGAAAGTTAAGAAAAAAAAATTTTCCCTTACAAGTGAAAGTGTTTCATCAGCCCAATGGACTCACCTTGATGATAATTTTCAAGATCAGATTTAAGATACAAGGTGATTAACTAAATAATGATAATGATGTTCAATCAAAGTTAATTAGACATTTATTTTGTTTTGTTTTTCCCTATTTATCAAGATAATTGATCAACCCAAAGTTAATCATCATGATAATCATAATGGTGATGATTATAATCAGTTATGAATTTCAATCCAGTTTTGTCTTTTCAGATTCTCATTCAGATTATTATTATTGTTAACTACTGATATTAATCTTGATTAAACTGGTTTTCTGATTGATTAATTTAATCATTTTAAAACAAAACAATGATATTAAATGGGATGAAATCAACTATTTGATTAAATCATTTCATTTCAAACAGTTACAAACATATTATCATTAATAACACATAACAAAATAACATATCATTAGATTAGTTGATTACACTTTCTGTTTAATTGTTATCAATGATTAACTTTTACTGCTCTTAATCATATTTATTGATTGTTATTGTAACAATCAGGAAACTTTTTGTTTCTCATAATTATATATCTACCTAATTGTAATGGTCAATTTTAATGATAACAATTTAACCTTTAAGGGTCAGATTATTGTTAATTGTTCTGGATTTGGATTAATTTTCAGTTACTCTAATTAATTGATTGTTGTTGCAATTATTTGAAGGAATGATAAATATTGAACTTAATCAAAGTTGCATTAAAGTTTTTTAATTGTATGAACCGCACGTCCTAGGATATTAAAAGCTTTGAATACTCTGTTTAACCTAAGGTACAAATAACGGTTGTTCCGTAATAAGAAATTCGTATGGAAAAAGAGCATGAAATAAATATAATAAGATTTTAAATCGAAATGATAATTACTCTCGATCTTTAGATCGCAGGCCTCAATTGTTTTGATTAATTGTTACACTTTCTTTTGTATATTAATATGTATAAGTGAGGAAAATGAATCCAATGTAACATTTATGAGAACCAGTTAATTGCTATCAATAGATTTAGATCATGAGAGTTAAATTGTTGATTATCTTTTAATCAAACTTGTATTTATGTACTTTTCTTGTTAATTAATCAACTTTTATTGATTGTATCTTGATTTAGTCATTTATAATCATAACTTACAATAAAAAAAAAGTTAAGCTCATTATGTTTTCACATCGTTATCATTATCATTTGAATATCTAATCATTAGTTTATTAAATCATGAATATTATCAGTAAATCATGATGGGAAATTTAAATTGTTGCAACAATATTCTGATTATGAAAGAGTGGAAACATTAATTGTAAAATCAAATAAGTGATTAATTTGCATATATAACAGTCATTGATCTTGTTAGCTGATTGTTGAACAATAAAAAAAAATGATCTCAACTCTTGACCAACACAGATTCATGCAAAGTTAATCATGATCGATAAAATCTGATAACAATCAACTAACAATTAAGTCTAATGATGAAAGTAAAATTAACCGGAAGAAAGAGACAATATGAGATTCATAAATCAACAATCAACTAAACAACAATTAAAATTGATTCAATCAAAAGTATCAACATGAAATATTATTATCAATACAATGATAACCTTAGATTAATATAAAGTCACAATCAGATTTATATTATTATAATATAAAGTTGTTTCTTATTTAAATTAAATTGTTTACACCAATTTAAATGTTAGTTTAACAGTTAATAGTTGAAAATTAACTGATTTTTGTTTGATTAATATCAACTTGATTATATTATCACGACACACGAGTGATAAAATGATCAACAGTCTCATTTGTATACCAACAGGAAAAAAAGTAAAAAAAAAGTAAAATTTATCATTGTGAATACATTGGAATCGCAGTTAACAATACAAGATGATTGTTGATTGTTATGATTATGATTATGATATAATAATAAATTTTTATGACAATAATAGCAAGGGAACACAATAGGACATTAGCACGTACTGTTACAACACGTGCTAATGTGCTTAGACAGAGAGAGAGAGTCAGATTATAATGTCAACAATCAATGAGAATAACAATCAATGTCTCATTGATTAAATGACTGATATTTGATTGTGATTATTTTGATTTGGTTGAATGAAAATTTCCCTCTGATTGTGTTAATATTTTGATTTCTCACACTCACACAGACAATAACAATTTAAACTGGATTAATGATGTTTCTAGATTTAGATTAAGATTGTTAATAGTGAATGAATTTTTTTTATTTATATTTTCCTCCAGTCTATTTAAGTGTTAATAACGATTAAGCTAATGGTCAATTGTTGATTATAATGTCCTGACTTTTAACTTGACCTTTCGATTGGTGTATAAGATATTGTATTTGTTTTGATTCTGTTTTGATGATCAACTTTGATTGTCGTTGTTATCATTTGATTGTTAAGCATTTCCGTTTGTCTATCCAATCAACCGGTCACTTCCTGATTGATTAATATTGTAATTCGTATCTTATTGTTACTATTAATTGGTTGATTAGGTTTGATTTGATTATTTTTTACTCTCTTTATGATAATCAGCTTTCAATTGTTGTCCATCAATTGTTTTCACAATTTTGTTTATCTTTTCTTACTTTGATTACTTTTAAATCAACGATTAATGTTAATTGTCAATGTGCCAATGGGTTTGTTTATTTAAAGCGTTGGTGTCTGATTGTTGATTGTGTGATTTACTGTTTTAAATTTGGACAATCTATTTATGGGTCAGTGATGCTGAAGAAAAATTTTAAATTAGGTTAATCATGTTGCTCATTGATGATAATATATGAAATTTTTGATTGTCCGCCATAATCATTAGTAAATTGTTGTTTTACAATTTAAAGTCTTGTTACTTAGTTGAACAGTTATGATGAACAATTTATTTCTGATTGTTGAATCGTTTTTAGTTTAATTTTTTTCTCAAATTAATGTTAATCTTTTTGATTCAGTGAATTTAATGTTTCACCAACAATAATTAATGCTAATTGTTTGACAATTAAATGGACAAATTGTATTATTATTAGGTGCTTAACAATTAACACAACAGATGAATGTACTTTCTTAGCAAAATTAAGAGGCTCACATTTTTTGTGTTTATTTTGATTATTTAAATTATCGTATCCTTTTGATTTGATTTCCAATTGTAAGTTGATAGTTTTTTTAAAAATTAATTCATAGTTATAGTAACTCCTGCAATCCCATCTAACGATAAAACAATAACTAACTCGAGATTTCTGGTACCAGTGATGTGCTGCCATCTATTAGGAGATTTAGCAACTATAAGAGTTTCACCAAGTTTCAAGTTTCAGCTCTGTGTTACGAATAATCTTGAATTGATTTGGATAAAGTTGAATCAGATCAAGCATAAAATATACAAAGCTATCGTACAAATGATACATGGATGTATAACAAACGAAGGACGAACAAGCGATAAATTAGAAAGAATTATCTTCTTGGGTTTTGATTTGTTAGTTAAAAATGAGCCAGTTAATTGGAGCAACTAAAACAATCAAATTAACCAACTCGTAACCAACCAACAATATTATTCGTAAAAATCAGAATTAATCTCTGGATAGTTCAAAGTTTAATCAAATCATTTCTTCAGCTTTTTAACTTTTGAGCTTCAAAGTAAATTCATCTGAACAAACACGAACTATTTCCGAGTTGTGCACTTCCTTTTTTCACTTTTACAGCTCATTAAATAGTAGAATTGTTCCGATCTGAAATATTGATCGATCTCAACTTTCAGAAAATCGATCGCCTGAAAAACGACGATATAAATTCAAAACTCGGCAAACTGATTAATAAATTTTACTTAATTAAGAAATTAGACAGTGAAAATAGACAGTGTACAAAAGAAAGAGAAATTTTTCAACCTTTTTCGACCGAGAAATTTGAATTTGAAAAATCGAAATCGATCGATTTATTAACACAAATTGATTGGATCGAAGGATCAACTGAAAATCTGAGATCAAAACATCTCTATTAAATAGTGTGCCTAAAGATGATAATCTAAAGGGAGTTCAAAATTTATAATTTGATGATTACGTTTCATTTAGTCTTGATTTTTTCATATCTAAACAGAAATAATTTTAATGAGCTAATTGTAAACTCATCTTTTCGTCACTTAATTTTCTGTCACATTTTCAATCGTTCTAATATTTAGCTTTCGTTCCAGTTCAACGCAAAAATCATGGATTTTAAATACAACGATAGCTTATTCCATCGTAAATGGAAAGTGAAAGAGGATGTGATCATCTCGGGAATGTCCGGACGATTCCCGAAATCAGAATCTGTGGATGAATTTGCTGATAATCTGTTCAATTCTATTGATATGATGACCGGAGGAAATGATCGATTCCGTTCAGGTAATTAGATAAATCACAATAATTTGACTATGAAACTAGTATCACCATGAACACTGTTCTGTACCTTTAATCTCTTAATCAGTAACAATTTATTTTCACTTATGATTCATGATGTAATGAACTTTACTAGATCAAAAGTAATTATTAAGCGAATTCTTATTATTGAACCTCGAAAATTATGAAAACTGCGTTATGCCAAACCTTCAATTTCTTCATGACTGATGTAAATAGTCTTGTTTCTATTTGTTTTCTTTCAACTTATCAATCAATATCGATTTCCATCTCCATTTCCGTTAGTTAAGATGAAAAGAATATATTAATAATTAAATAGTCTAGAACTCGTAATTTATCAGCAGAATCTGGATAAAATCGATCATAAGATCATTACAATTCACGAATTTCAAAGATTAGTGAACAACATGAATGATAAAAACCATGGATAAGATTCAGGTCTCGATCAACGTAATAAATGTAATAAGATTTAAGAAAATCTAGTTTCAACAGTTAAGCTTCATTGTTGCCTCAATAATCAATATTGTTTTTAATCAATTTACAGGTCACAATAATTTACCTCAAGTAAGTGGAAAAGTTGGTAATCTAAGCAAATTTGATGCTCAATTTTTCTCGATCCCTGAATATCAAGCTGATCATATGGATCCACAATTAAGGAAATTATTGGAAGTCTCATATGAGGCGATCATTGATTCGGGTAAGAAATTATTATCAGCGTATAACTAATTGTAAAGGGTGATTGTAGTTGAAAATGGCAAATCATCTTACCTTGAATTGTGATAAGGAGATGACGATTTGATTCAATTTTTAATTGATCATTATTGGAATGTTATGAGTCAATCAATTAATTAGAATAAAAGGTGATCATTGAACCAAAATGAATCAATTGCGATAATAATAATTTGTGAATTAATCCGATCAAAAATCAGTTAATATCAAACAGCTGATTAAATTAATCGATGATAATATTAATTAATTATGTGAAACCAAAGAGTGAGGAAGTTAACTCACAAGATGGTCCACAATTTCCAGGGGAAGTGCTAATTGAAAACATTCAGATCAGAGTGCGCTTAGTATTACAGCTTTTCTCAGTAACTTTCGCCGAGTTCTCAACTAATTAGTCGAGTTCCCATTTGGTTTCGTCAATCCGACAGAGGGCAGAGTTTTTTCAATTAGTTCTCAGTGAGTTTCGCAGATCCTCAGATCATTTAGTCAAGTTCTCGATGAGTTTAGTCAATTCGCTTTTACATTGAGTAGAAAATTAAACTTTTTGATTAAAATTCATTTTTTGATTTTTTCTTTAAATTTTTATTACTCAAGACTTGATCAGTTTTCGAATGCGATTCTTCTCATCCCTTTTCTTAGATCTTTTTGCCATTTTCAAATGTGAATCGTATTCGAAAATTGATCAAAACTCAACAATAATAACATAAAAATTTGAGCAATTATTCAATAAAAATTTAAAGAAAAAATTAAAAAATGAATAAATAAGTGAGGTAGATTATTGTTGATCCCATTGGGATGTAAACTCAATTGACAAGTAAAAAATTCATGATACGAAATAAATTGATTTGATTGTAACAATTAGGCTTGAATTTGTCAACGAAATTGTCCTTGTCTTGGTAAAATGAATTCATCATCGAGTCTTTACTTAACCATAACTGTTGTAACCACGATTCGTTTAATTTACTTCTTGGTACTTTGTAAACACAATCTGATTGTTCAACTGTTTCCAATGATTGTATTTTATTAAAATCGTTGACTTTTTTGTCATAATCGTTGATTGTCTCACTTTTATCGTCATCAATGATCTCGAATACTCTGATCACAGAATAGAACTGCCCGTTAACTGCTTTGGAGGAAGAAATAAATTTTCTGGTAATTTTATGAAACTCGAATCCACGCCGAAATCATTTCGTATTTTATAAATTAGTCCATTAGGTCTAAATTGATGCTCTTTACTCCATAATATACATCTATATAATATAATTATATTATCCTGATAAAATTACCAGAAATGTATTTCTTCATCCAAAGCAGTTGATTAACAATCCTTTCTATTCTGTGATCAGAGTATTCGAGATCATTGATGACGATAAAAGTGAGACAATCAACGATTATGACAAAAAAGTCAACGATTTTAATAAAATACAATCATTGGAAACAGTTGAACAATCAGATTGTGTTTACAAAGTACCAAGAAGTAAATTAAACAAATCGTGGTTACAACAGTTATGGTTAAGTAAAGACTCGATGATGAATTCATTTTACCAAGACAAGGACAATTTCGTTGACAAATTCAAGCCTAATTGTTACAATCAAATCAATTTATTTCGTATCATGAATTTTTTACTTGTCAATTGAGTTTACATCCCAATGGGATCAACAATAATCTACCTCACTTATTTATTCATTTTTTAATTTTTTCTTTAAATTTTATTGAATAATTGCTCAAATTTTATGTTATTATTGTTGAGTTTTGATCAATTTTCGAATACGATTCACATTTGAAATGGCAAAAGATCTAAGAAAGGGATGAGAAGAATCGCATTCGAAAACTGATCAAGTCTTGAGTAATAAAAATTTAAAGAAAAAATCAAAAAATGAATTTTAATCAAAAAGTTTAATTTTCTACTCAATGTAAAAGCGAATTGACTAAACTCATCGAGAACTTGACTAAATGATCTGAGGATCTGCGAAACTCACTGAGAACTAATTGAAAAAACTCTGCCCTCTGTCGGATTGACGAAACCAAATGGGAACTCGACTAATTAGTTGAGAACTCGGCGAAAGTTACTGAGAAAAGCTGTAAATGTTTTCAACGGAAAAGATACGAACTTCAATAAGTACACCAAATCAACTTAGCTCTCTGAACTTATTGCTCTTTGAATTTTTTTATCTCATTTCTTAGGCATATGATTAAAAACTTTATTTCATTTCTTTTCAGGTTTGTCAGTTGAATCATTAAGAGGATCTAAAACTGGATTTTTCTATGGGTCGTCGTTTGCTGAGACCGAAATAGCCTGGGGTGAAGAGCCGCTTGAGTTGCCCAGATACAAACAGATATATACGACATTGGTTCCTTATATTTTCGACCTGAAAGGACCAATGTGTCACTTCGACACAGCCTGTGGGTCAAGTTTCGCAGCGCTGACTGAAGCATTCACAGCAATTAAGTCAGGAATTTGCGATAAAGCTTTGGTCGCTGGATTCAACATTTGCTTATTACCAGTGGTCACTTCACAATTTCGAGATCTTCAAATGGTTTCACGAAATGGTCGATCAAAATGCCTCGATAAATCAGCTGATGGTTATGGAAGATCTGAAGCCGTTTGTTGTATCGTGCTACAAAAAGCACCAGATGCTAAACGAATTTATTCAACGATAGTTAATTGTCGATCCAATGCCGATGGTTATAAAGATCAGGGTATTTCATTTCCATCGGTCGATTTACAACGACAATTAATGTACGAAACCTACACCGAAGTTGGTCTTGATCCAACCAAAGTAACCTATGTCGAAGCTCATTGTACCGGTACTCAAGCCGGTGACCCAGTTGAACTAAACGCAATTCACGATATTTTTTGTATCGGTCGAGATCTATCAAATCCGCTGAGAGTTGGGTGTTTAAAATCAAACATGGGACATGCTGAGGGTGCGTCAGGTATTTGCGCTACAGTTAAAGCCAACATGATATTTCAAAAAGGTCTGATTTCTCCTAATTTGCATTTAAAAACACCTAATCCAAAGATTGAAGGACTAATGAATAAGACAATTGTTCCAGTTACAACGATTACTCCTTTCGAAGACGAAATTATTTCGCTTAATTGTTTTGGTTTTGGTGGTGCTAATGCTCATGTTATTCTCCGAGGTCATGATGTCCGATCATTGGCTGATGAGTTCAAAGTAACTCTATCAAAATTACCTCGATTAGTTAATATTCCGGGTCGTTCAGTCGAAGGTATTAAATTCGTGCAAAATTATCTCGAATCATCGGTCAGTAAATTAACCAGATCATTTCTCGATCTTCTTAATGAATATTCAAAATCTCGTAAAATGCCTCATCGTGGATTCACGTTGATTGAAGGAGAACCTGAAAAATATTCAATGAAACATTTCATTGGAAATCAACTCAACTCAATTGAACATAAAAAAGTCTATTTAACATCATCAACAAATCTAATTAACGTTGATCCAAATCTAAAAGATTTACCTGTTTTCTCAGGTACAATCAATAGATTGACATCTTACCTTAGACCATTTGATTTGAATTTATTTCACCTCGTTTTCGGTGAGATGAAAGTTACCAACCCTTTGGAATCGATCATTACATCAATTGCTATTCAATTGGCGATTGTTAATACATTTAAATCGATACAATTAAATATCGATGGAGTGGTGATTCCAACAATCGGATATTTGATTGATCTTTATGCCAACAATAAGTTGACTGAACAAGAAGTCATTCTAACTGCTTGTTGGTTTGGACATTTCGTCCTAATAAAAGATCAATCGATAATCAATCCAACAATTGAAGTTTATTCATCGTATGAACAAATTAAACCTCATTTAACGGAAGGAATCAAACTCACCAAGCAGACATCCGGTAAATCGTGTGTCATCTCTGGACATTACGAAGAAATGTTTTATTCGATTATCGATATTCAACTGGCTAATATAACGGTCAAATGGCCTGGAGAATCGAACAATCGTTCTATCGAATTAAATACAAATTTCTCATTAAATCGAGGCGAAAAAGAAGTCATGAATATGCATAGATTCAAGGATCATCTGATGATGCAAGTCCTTTCATCGGATCATTACATTAGAATAATTAAGGAATTGAAAGAATCGACCGCAAATATAATATTAATACTCAACACAGATTATCAACATTTCATCTTACCAGAATCAATTTGGAAGCATCAAAATGTTCCGCTTCAACCAAATCAATACAATTTATCAGATATGAAAAAGGGTTTTCTTTCCGGGGATAGTTTGTTTACCTGTTTAGGTAAAATTTATGCAAATCAAGGAATCAACTATCATTTGGAACATTTATATCCAACTGTCAATTATCCTGTTCCGATTGATACTCTCTCACTTAATTCATTGATCAAGTTTGATCATTCAGAAGATCGGAAAGTTTTCAAATATCCTGAATACTTTAACCAAGCGAAATGCTCAACAACTTACAGATTTCGAGTTAATCTCACTGATTCTGAAGATTGGTTCTTGGCAGATCACAAGATCGATGGCCGAGTCCTTTATCCAGCAACCGGATTATTAATGCTTGTTTGGTATACGGTTGCTAGATATCATGGAACCATAGCAACACTATTTCCGATTGAATTTCGAGATATTAGATTGATTCGAGCTACAGTTTTAACAGAAAAAGAAGTTAGCTTTACTGTACAATATTTACCTTATAACGGAACTTTTAGTATTTCCGAAAGTGATACTGTTGTAGCCTTTGGTAAAGCGTTTGGAAATCCAGATTTGGAGCTGGTTAGAACTTCTCATCCTAAATTGCGAAAAAATTCTTGTGAATACAATCTCAATAAAAAAGATATCTACAAAGAGTTACGAGTTCGTGGCTACGATTATGGTCCACATTTTCAATGCTTAACCTCAGCTTCGAGCTCAAGAGTACATGGGAAAGTTGAATGGCGAGACCCGAAAAATTCAGAATTGAAAGCATCAACCACAATCGGTAAATCTCTTGCTGGAGTCTTTAGTTTTTTGAAAACTTGGATAACATTTACTGATTCGATCTTACAGTTTGTTCCACTATCCAATCAAAATAATCGAAATCTTTATGTTCCTACTGGTCTCCAATCGTTAATTTGTGATCCAATTCAAATTTTAGAGATGGTTAATCACTTCAATAGACTTTCAAAGCTTATTAAAACCTCAGATTCAAAGAAAACTGACTTAAGTGTCTCAATTGACCACAAAAGGTCAATTAAAGATACAACTAAGAGACATTTATATCCAGAATTTGATGTTTATCATGACCCGATTACACAAACAGTTTCGACTGAAGGAGTTTGGGTCAGAGGTCTTTTTGCATCTGATACCATCCGAAGAAAACAACCAGTTACTGTTTCGACTTACGATTTCACGCCGTTCCATGAAAATCATGCCGTCGATGAAATTACCTTACAATCAATCGAATCATATTCATCTTCGATTTTTAATCTTATTGATTTGTTACAACAAAAGATTCTGACTTCGATTGATATGGTCGATTGCGACGAAGAAATAGAATCAATTACAAACACAACTGACCTTAATGAAGATCAACATTCATTCGCTAAATATTTGACCTGTTTGTGTCGAGGAGAAACACCAATGACAGAAACTATTTCTAAACTACACGATGACTTACTAATTGGTAGTAAATTAGCTCCTTATTCTCATCAACGATTTTTACAGCCATTTGTGAATATTGCAACTCGTAGTAAGTGTTATGGAGGTGATGTTTATTCAGAGTACAACATTGTCGAAATCAATGATACTCAAGGTTTTCTTTTCGATTCCATCAAATCACTTCTCGAAACGCAGTACTTTGAGTTGTTGGATATTAAATACACTCTGGTGAGATCGAATTTATCTGAGGAAGACACTGGAACTAAAAAACTTTCTAAACTTTCTGGTGTCAAGAATAAAATTATTTGGAATATCGATGAAGCACCAGCTCCAAGTGATCTGAGTAGAAACGATTTAGTTATTTACAAATTGGCTAATCAATCAATTGATTCATTAATCTCGAATATCGAAAAAATTCAATCGATTCTAAAACCCAATGGTCATTTGTTGGTATTGGCCAGAGAAAACTCATCTAATTTGGAAAGTCTCAGATCGAATCCATTTGTTCAAAATCTACTGAAAGATTTTCTTCCAGATTCAATTGACTCAAACTCACTAATTGAAAAAATGAAAGAAAATAATTGGGTTTGTATAAGTAAACGAACAGTTTCACCTAATTCGTTGCCTTTGGTTGGATTAATGTTCAAAAAGTTACCAGAATCGATTAATCTTGAAAAACATAAGATTATTCGAGTCAATCCATTTGAATATTCGTGGCTCGATAATCTCAAAGATGAAATAAAAGCCGATGAAGAATCAATAATTTGGTTGGTTAGTCAAAATGTTTCCGATGTAAGTGTACTTGGCTTAGCGAAATGTTTGAGTTTAGAGCCTTACGGATCTCGAATTCGTTGTGTTGCTCTTCAACCTGGTTCTAAAGGAATCGATTTATCATTAATTGATTTGCATAGTCCAACTTTCCATCAACTAATAACCATTGATTGTAAATTCAATATTTATGATGATCAACTCGGATGGGGAGATTATTGTCACTTCGAGATACCAACAAAACAAGAGACCGATAGCAAATGTTTAATCCAAAGTAAAGATGCTTATGTTCAATGTTTAATTCCTGGTGATCTTTCATCACTTGTATGGACTCAATTCAATCCAATTCCTGATTCTAAAAAAGGTCAATCTCTTGTGACAATCAACTATTCGTCTCTCAATTTCAAAGATATTATGCATGCGACCGGAAGATTACCTTCCAATTTGAATCCCGATTGGCACACTTCTGTAGAAATGTCAGCACCGATTGGATTAGAATATGCTGGTATCGATTCAAATGGTTATCGAATTATGGGTTTTGTTCCTCATCGAGCGTTAGCTACTAAACTTATCATTGGAACTAATGATTTCTGTTGGTCTATTCCATCGAAATGGACCATGGAAGATGCAGCAACCGTACCAGTCGTTTATGCAACTGCGATTTATGGTTTATTGATTCGTGGTGAGCTTCGTCAAGGTGAATCTGTACTGATTCATGCGGGATCAGGAGGTGTTGGAATAGCAGCGATAAACATTTGTTTGAGTATGAATTGTCGAATCTTTACAACTGTTGGTACGAATGAGAAACGGAAATTTCTCCAAGAACAATTTCCTTCACTCGACGAGACGAGTTTCACTCATTCAAGATCAACTACATTCGAAGAACATGTTCTTAGACACACGAATGGTCGAGGTGTGGATGTTATTCTCAATTCATTATCTGAGGAAAAACTACAAGCAAGTGTAAGATGTTTAGCACCAGGTGGAAGATTTCTGGAAATCGGTAAATATGATATCATGCAGGACAGTAAGATTAACCTGGGGCTTTTCGATGAGGGTCGAACTTTCCATGGAATTTTACTTGATGCATTCATTACCTCTACAAATCACCTCAGTGACAGTGGAGTGTCACAAGTAAAAGAGAAAATCACTGCTTATATGAACCAAGGAATTACTTCAGGAACAATAAAGCCCCTTCCAAGAAAAGTATTCAAAATGAATCAAGTTGAAGAAGCTTTTCGATTTATGGCCACAGGTAAACACATTGGGAAAGTTCTGGTTAAGATAAAAGATGAAACCAACGATGCTAAATGTTCTTTGGCAACAGTAAAATTGACAAAAGTAAATGAAATTTCAGCAATTGGATCGATCCCATTATCAATTAAATCACCAATTTTCTATCCAAATAAAGCTTATGTTATTGTCGGTGGATTCGGAGGATTTGGTTTGGAATTAGCTTGTTGGCTGGTCCGAAAAGGTGTTCGTCGATTGGTCCTTAATTCTCGATCTGGACCTAAGTCATCTTATCATAAATTATCTTTGGATCGATTAAAGTCACTTGGTGCTAATGTCATTATATCAACACACGATTTAACTTATGAACAAGATTGTTGTTCACTTCTCGAATCCCTTTCACCTTATCCAATCGGTGGGATATTTAATTGTGCTCTCGTTTTGTCTGATGCTTTATTATCCGACCAAAATGCTGAAACTTATGAAAAAGTTTGTTCATCGAAAGTCAAAATAACAAAGAATTTAGATAAATTAACTCGATCAATGGCTCCATTTGATTGTGATTATTTTGTTGTCTTCTCATCCGTAACTTGTGGGCGAGGTAACCCAGGTCAATCTAATTATGGATTAGCCAATTCTTATATGGAATCAATTTGCCGAGAAAGATTCAAACATGGACTCCATGGCCTAGCGATTCAGTGGGGATACGTTGGTGATGTTGGGTTTGTTGTCGAGAAATTCGGTGTTAACATTGATTCAATTCGTGGAACAGCAGCTCAACGAATCCATTCTTGTTTCTCTGTACTTGAACGAGCATTGGTTTACCCTTCTCCCGTTGTATCGAGTTGGCTGCAAGAGATTGATAGAAAGAAGGTTTCATTTGGATCTAGAGGCATAATTGGCGCGATCAGTCACATCTTGGGTATCAAAGATATTAATTCACTTGATCCTAATGTTACTTTAGGCGAACTTGGTATGGATTCGTTGATGGCGATCGAAATTCAGCATGTTCTGGAGAAACAGTATAGCATCTCGGCCATTCCTCAGGAAATTCGAGCGTTCAAAATATCTAAACTGAAGGAATTATCAAAAAAATGGAATGCAGACGAGCAAAGATCAGAAATATTGACAAAAAAAAGTTCGATTATCACCTTAAATGATACAAATTCAATAATAGAATCACTTTTATCTCTTCAAGTTCCAAAAACAATAACAAGTAATCTGAATGATTTATTAATAGAAAAATCAAAATCATTCAGACCAATTTATTATATGCCTCCCATCGAAGGAAATTATGATTTAATGAAAGGTCTCATTGATCGTATCAAAAGACCAGCGCTTGGACTTAATTGGACTTACGATCTTTCATCTCTTACCTCAATCGAGTCTGCAGCAAATTATTATGCTGATTATCTGACCAAATGCCACTCATCAAATGACAAAATACACATGATTGGGTATTCATTTGGTGGCATCATCGCTTATAATATCGCATGTGAGTTAGAGACTCGATTTGTGTCTAATAGAAATGGACCAATAATCGAGAAATTGATCCTTATTGATGCTGATCCTGAAAAGCTGAAAAATGTCGCAGAAATAACTATAAATACTCGAGTTAAAACTAAAGATATGAACATTCAAGAGACAGAATTTGTTAAAGTAGTAATTAAAAGAGTGTTTTCGAAATTTAATCAAAATCAATTCGATGCTGAAATAAATAAATGCTCTAATCGACAGGAAAAATTCGAAATGTTCACAAAAATCATGATTGATAAAGGAATTCCCGAAGATAAAGCAGATATGATTTCTAAAGTTAATGAGTTAACTTTTCAAAAAGGACAAATGCTCATCAATTATTCACCAAAACTGAATTCGAAATTAACTGAAATAATTCATATTCGAGCTAAGACTGATCTACCATTATTCCGAACTGCAAAACAAACTAAATTCAAAGTGAGTAAAAATTCAAACCTATTGATCAACTGACTTACTAATCCAATCTTGTCCACAATTTACTAATCAACTGATTATCTATCCAATTTTTTTTAGCTTGGAACCGAACACTTTTTTGATGGTAATCATCACATTGTAATTGGATTGAATCTAGACGATATCGTGAAAATAGCAAATAATTTCTTTAAAATTCAATAATGCTAACGCTCTCATAATACATTTCTTTTATCCCTACCGTTTATAACTTTGCAATCAATTTTTGCATTTTTGCTTGTTCTGATTTCGACTCACTTTTAATGAAATCAATATACTTTTAAACATGATTAAATTATAGAGCCTTTTGAAAAACTAAAGTTTCTCGAACGAATTCTAGTCTGAATACTCAGCTCTAATGATATTTGCTTTCTTTTCATCTTCTTCAACGATTGTCAGTCCAATGGAATAGTCATTCGTAATCTTACAACCCTCATCAACAATTATTGTTTCATCGTCATCATCAATGATGATTATCTCAGGTTGGCACTTTCAATTCAACTCAATTTTAGGAACTTGGTTGTAATTTGTTTGTGTTTATTTTTTTAAATCAAATCTACACAATATGAAACCTCAACGACTTTTTGAATGTCGGCATCATAATTAAATTCACATTTGTAATGTTTCATTGTTTTATTGTTATTGCTTTGGTTCGTTTCAGGTTTGCTTGAATACGTTGAGAGCTCTGACCCAATCTATATTGTGAGTCGCAATGGTGAAATATTCATTAGCTTTTCTGTTACAATTTAAGTTAAAGCAACAGAATTGAATGGGTCTACCTACGTAGGTTACTTACCAGCTCTACAGGAAACACAATACAGTCCAACACCCGTTTTCGAACTCGCTATTGACTGTGTAGTATTTGTGACAAATCGAGAAAAAAAATTCTGCAGTTGAAGCTCAAAATTAGATTATAACTCGATAGAAATTGTCTTTTCTATTTGATTACTTTTGTAAATGCTCATCAGATGCTCGAAATAAAAATATTAACCAGAATTTTAGCATGAAAACTTTATTCTAGTGCGTAAAATCTCGTCAAGTTCTCGTAATTTTGTGAATGTCGAATCTTTAAATCTGTTGCCACAATTGCAGCCAACGAAACCACAGTGGTCAAAGCCGTGACTTTGGAGTTTTTCTCAGCGGCCATTGTAAAGGAAAAAGAAATGAAAGAGAAATGGAGAATTGAAAATCTCTTTATTACTATGATCTTTGATGATTTTTAAAGTCGAACCATATTAAATTATTAGTGTTAGAAAGCGTGTATGTTGCCTTTAATTTGATGATTATTTTGATCTCATTAATTAGAGTTCTTATTATGACATTTTTGAAGATTAATTGAAGAGAATCACACTTAATTTAAACACAATGACACAATATAAGGAAAAAATGATCTATTAATACGTTGATGTTTAACAATCAACTGATTACATAAAGATTGTTCATTTTTCATTGTCTCATTGTTGTTACCTGTTTTTTTCTGATAATTAACTACAATTTAAACTTTTTCTTGTTTTTCCTTAAACAATCAAACTGTTTTATTTGATTAACAACCTTAATCAAATATCAATTTGGTTAAAAACTACAATTACAATTGAAAACAATTTACATTTCAAATCAATTATCTTAATCATCATTCATAACATTCATTATTTACAAGCGGGAACAAACTTTCTTACGAAAGTTTGTTAAGTTTATTTGAGAGACCCGTGGATTTAGAATACTGAAATAAGAATCATTCTTTTAATTGATTCCTTAATCGTGGATTCTCTTTCTCTTTCTTGAATCACTAATAAAAATGATGAATAATCGCAAGCCACAATATTTATTAGAAATTCACAATACCAGTTAGACTTTTAATTCAAACTTGTTAATTAATCGAGGCATTTATATAATTTATATATATTGATTTTTAATAATCAGTAAGCACCAATATTATAAAGAAAAGATGAAAACTAAATAGGTTAGACAGGATAAACCTGCCAACTGAACATAAAATGGAGGATAAAGAGAGAAAAGGAATGAAGGGGGAAAATTAAGGGGGAGGATAAGGTGTTTTTAGCCAGGTACTAAACCGGTTTTAGTACCTGGCTAAAGTTGTTAATACATTCTCTTTCTCTTTCTCTCTCGTCTCTTTCTCTCCTCTCTCTCTTTCTATATCTTTCTTTTTGAATTTCGCGCTCTTATAAAGCTGAACTGCGCTTGCGTACAATATAAATTTTGAATCTGAATTTCTCATGAATGGGTGCTCAGATTTCGTTCGCAATTTCGTAGCCATAAAAACCATACATTTAATCAATCAAACTCATACTAATTAAATAATTAATTACAGTCAACAATTAGCTATTTAATGATCTTTCTTGATTGGTGAGTTTGATGAATTTACAAAATTAAAATCTTAAAAATCGCAGCAATTGATAAATAAATGAGGTATATTGTTGCTGATCCCATTGGGATGTAGACTGAATTGGCGAGCAAGAAATTCATGATACGAAATAAATTGATTTGATTGTAACAATTAGACGTGAATTTGTCAACGAAATTGTCCTTGTCTTGGTAAAATGAATTCATCATCGAGTCTTTACTTAACCATAACTGTTGTAACCACGATTCGTTTAATTTACTTCTTGGTACTTTGTAAACACAATCTGATTGTTCAACTGTTTTCAATGATTGTATTTTATTAAAATCGTTGACTATTTGGTCATCGTCGTTGATCGTCTCACTTTTATCGTCATCAATGATCTCGAATACTCTGATCACAGAATAGAAAGAACTGCCCGTTAACTGCTTTGGATGAAGAAATAAATTTCTGGTAAGTTTATCGATATTATCATACATTATAGTAGCATCAATAATATGAGTGAAACCATTTCTTTTATCAACAATATCGAGAAAGGCCCGAGCTCGAGGCCAAACAGTTCTGGTCAATTGGGGTAAACCATTTTTCTCAGCATATCTGAAACTTGATTCCAAGTAAACATTTCGAAATGCACCTTGAAAAATTGTCAAATGAATCAAATTAGCCGTTTAAGGCCCGTATTCACCAACCGAGATCAAATCTGCTTCCAGGTTTAAATCAGCTGATCTCAGCTTTTGTGTTTCACCAACCACGATCAAATCTTGATCTCGGATCAGAGTTAAGTTCGGATCAGTTTGATTCCGGAATTAAAAAATCATGTTTCACCAACCCCGATCAATTGATCTCAGCTTAAATTGATGTTTCACCAACCGAAATTAAACTCAATTGATCTTAGAATCAAGAGAAAGTCAAGATTAAATTTTGATTTCGACTTTTTTTTCTCTTTTTTCTAATCTAACTCATTTTTTCCGAATTTTTTTTTAATGAATTGGTTTATATCATAATGCTCTATTATTTTTCTACAATTTTCGCTAGCGTAAAGAAGATTTTTTTTTCACAGAAAAATTTCAACAAAGATATTTATAAAACTTGATCAGTGTAGTCATATAACTTGTTAATTGTTTGGAAATCAATCTTAATTCCAAGTCTTTTCCATAAACAATTAATTAATTCATCCACTTCAAATTAACCGCTTTTGTCTAAAGAGAAATAATTTTTTACTGTTGTGACCGTTGTTATGTTTGATGATCGGTAGGTTAAAAAAATCAATTAAAAATTAGGGGTAAAAATGAAAAAATAGGGAAAAAAGACAAAAACACGCCCTTTTAGGTACAATTTCTTAATTGAATGAAGATTAATTTGAGTTTAGCTTAGAGATGGACCGATCTCGGATTTTAGTCAGATCGATTTATTGTTTCGATTTCTTTGAGAAATCGATCGATTCCGATCTCTAAAATTCAAATTTCGCGGGCAAAAAAAGCAAAATTGTTTTCTATTTTCACTATAATCTTTTTTTTGTCTAACTAATTTCTTAATTTGAAGGTAAATTCATTGTTTAAAATCCGTAATTTTCCGATTTCTGGCCTAAAGTCACATGTTTTTGCAGATCGATCTCTCAAAAGTTGAGATCGATCGATTTCTCTGAACCAAAAATCGATCGCGATCGATTTATAAATCGGATCGGAACATCTCTAGTTTAGCTTAAATCAAATTAAAGTCGGAATCAATGATTCCGGAATCAGCTAATCGGGCTTGGTGAAACTACTTTATACTTTAAACTCGGAATCAACTTGATTCCAGGATCAGTTGATCTTAGCTTTTGATCTCGGTTGGTGAATACGAGCCTAAATCGAAATAAATGAGTTATTATCATTTATAAATACCTTCCGGACAAAGACCAACAGTATTGTGATTTCTCGAGTTCAGCGCCCAGTATTCAACGAAATCACCTTTCTTGAAACTCGAATCAATGCCGAAATCATCTCGTATTTTATGAATTAGTCCATTGATCATAAATCGATAATATTTACTCCAAACAAGGACGAATTTCATAAACTTATCGTCAAATATGAAATACATAATAATAGCATCCAAGACTGTTTGATGGTTACAGACAATTAGTATCTTGACTGATGGAGATGCTAAATCAATTATTTTATTTGGATCAGGACCCAACCGATAATCTAAGAAATAATTGGTAATTATTATTGAATCAAAAAAGCTATCATTTACTTTTCAGGTCACTTAATGTTAGCCAATTAGCGACAATTTTGGTGTCCGAAGCTTTAAATATTTTATCAAATTTGCTAAAACCAAAAAGTTATCACTCACCTTTCACTTTGTATACCAGTAAAGTCAACCAAGCACCGATAATTCTGGCAAACGATCCAATCAAAATTTTGTCCAATTTAATAAAACATGAATATGAAACTAATTTCAATGGTGAAATCAGACAATACAATACAATTAGCGAAATCGCAGTTAGTGTTACACTAATTACACTGAATAAATGTAAAACTCTCCTTTGTATAGTTGAAAGATTCATTGTTGATCATTTAATGTTACCTGTAACTATTTCAAGTCGAATTAATGCAAAATCAACCAACGTCTACAATTTATATGAAACAAAATTCAATTGAATTGAACCTAATTGCAGCTGAATTGCTTTGAAAGGGCACAATTAACATGAAGACTCAAATACTGAATCAGAAAGCCTTCTGTTTACTATTGCGTCGTTTTAATTTGGTAAATTAATTGAATCATAGATATTGATAAATAAACAAGATTTAGTTATGATTTCTGCGTAAGCAATTAACAGTTACATTTTCAATTGTCTATTGTTGCTAATAACTTTGTAAAGTGAAATAATAGCAATTTAAAAAAGTAAATCATATCCAAGAAAAACAACTTATTACTCTTTATCATATCTGATATGTAAATTAGCAGCTGAGTTGATTGCAAACTCTTCAATTGATCGTCAAGTTTTAAATTAGATGTAAACTCTACAAAAGATCCAATTGATTAGATAGCAATTTAAAGGGCTTTTCCATTCATCTATTTTTTTAAATCAATATGTTTAATCTGAGTTATGGTGAGTTTTTTAGATTATCTAATCATCACTACGATTAGACTACTTGTTGGTTATTTGAAAGGCTCAGTGGAAGCTACGACAAAAAGTTAATGGAAAAGCCCTTTGCGTAGATAGTTTTTATCTTCAAACGTATGGTTTTATATTCAGTTGATGACAAAAAAAGAGCTTCTTTGTGAATCTTAAACGTTTAGGCTGAGAATTAATCTCCAAGCCATGCATATATCCAAAAGTGTCAAAAGAGACTTGAAGCCGAGTTTTTCTCAATGATAAGTGCTGGTGATAAATACGGGGAAATGCGGTAACCTATTGTATCGGGTGTTTACTAAAGGTTAGCAACTCGGTATAAAACTTTATCCAGTCAACTTGAAAATAACCTTTTCTGAAGGAGGACCACTGGAAATGGTAAAACACGAGTTTCTATAGATTTAAAATTTTCGACCTTCTTAATATCCTAATTTGAAAAAAGGCCAACTTTTCGTCGGAAAATTGGCATTTTCACTCATCATTCGACTTCTGGTTATTTTTCAGCCTAAGAAAAAATATCATCATGAAACCTAACAAAGATCAAGATGAGATTAGTACAGTTCATGTAGGTTGAAAAACATGGAAGTTATGGCGACTTTCCCTGAACTCACCTTGATTCATTCACTCAAATTAGGGTACGAAAAAAGGGTAACTAAAAATCCCATAGACAATTAACAATTAGATTAGTTGCCGTGACAACTTAAATATTAATAATTCGATCAATTTATCAAACAATTTCGTAGCCATAAAAACCATACATTTAATCAATCAAACTCATACTAATTAAATAATTAATTACAGTCAACAATTAGCTATTTAATGATCTTTCTTGATTGGTGAGTTTGATGAATTTACAAAATTAAAATCTTAAAAATCGCAGCAATTGATAAATAAATGAGGTATATTGTTGCTGATCCCATTGGGATGTAGACTGAATTGGCGAGCAAGAAATTCATGATACGAAATAAATTGATTTGATTGTAACAATTAGACGTGAATTTGTCAACGAAATTGTCCTTGTCTTGGTAAAATGAATTCATCATCGAGTCTTTACTTAACCATAACTGTTGTAACTACGATTCGTTTAATTTACTTCTTGGTACTTTGTAAACACAATCTGATTGTTCAACTGTTTTCAATGATTGTATTTTATTAAAATCGTTGACTATTTGGTCATCGTCGTTGATCGTCTCACTTTTATCGTCATCAATGATCTCGAATACTCTGATCACAGAATAGAAAGAACTGCCCGTTAACTGCTTTGGATGAAGAAATAAATTTCTGGTAAGTTTATCGATATTATCATACATTATAGTAGCATCAATAATATGAGTGAAACCATTTCTTTTATCAACAATATCGAGAAAGGCCCGAGCTCGAGGCCAAACAGTTCTGGTCAATTGGGGTAAACCATTTTTCTCAGCATATCTGAAACTCGATTTAAATTCATCACTTCGAAATCCACCTTGAAACAAATGCGAATCAAATAAACCATTTAAATAGGAATCAATGAACAATTAGTAATAAATACCTTCCGGGCAAAGAACAACAGTATTGTAATTTCTCGAGGTCAGCCCAGTATTCAACGAAATCGCCTTTCTTAAAACTCGAATCAACGCCGAAATCATTTCGTATTTTATAAATTAGTCCATTAGGTCTAAATTGATGCTCTTTACTCCAAACAATGACAAATTTTACTAACTTATTATCGAGAAATATTGAATGAAAAATAAGAGAATCCATTACTGTTTGATGGTTAGAAATAAACAATACTTTGGCGGATGATAAATCGATAACCGAACTTGGATCAGGACCAAACCGATAACCTAATAACCAAATGAAAATTAATTTATTATAAAAATCAAAAAAGTTACTTACCTTTAACTTTATAGCATAACGTCAACCAAGCACTGATAATTTTGACAAGCGAAGCTAAGAAAATTTTGTCCAATTTAGTAAAATATGAATATGAAACTAATTTTAATGGTGAAATCAGACAATACAATACAATTAGCGAAATCGCAGTTGCGACACAATTGCTCAAAAATAGAAAATTTATAACTTTTTTTTTAACAATTAGCAGTTCCATATTTATCACTTGTAATAATTTATTAAAATATGAATATGAAACTAATTTCAGTGGTGTTATCAAGAAATACACTAAGATTAACAAAAAAGTAATTAAGATGTAATTGATTGTTGTTTTAAAATGAAAGCTTTCTTTGTAACAATCAAAAGTTTCAGTTCTGATCATTTACAATGACTTTAGAAAAAATCAGCCAATTTACAATTTACAATTTACATGTATATGAAGAGCAATTAAAATGAACTGAATTAGTAATTCAGAATTACAGCTGAATTGCTTTGAAAAGCTAAACAAACTTGTCACAAGTTACTTGTGGATTCAAATATTAGATCCAATGAAAGGGACGATTTCAGATTTTAAGCAGATCGATTTACTCAACCGATTTTTACGAAAATTAATTCATAATAATTCGTAACTCCTGCAACCATCTAGCGATAAAACAATTTCTAACTCGAGATTTCTGGTAACAGTGATGTGTCTCCATCTATTAAGAAATTTATCAACTAAAAAAGTTCACCAATATGAAAAATCTATTCAACAAACAATTGAATTGTATTCATAGATCACAATTGGATAATCTCTAGTTCAATTAATTGGAGTTTGTTGTACCATTTGACTGATAAACTTGGTAACTGACGATTGTAACTTTAATCCGATTCAGTTAACTGAAAAAGTTTGAGACGTTAATTGATTAGATCAAAATTAATCTTGAGACGATTAATTAAATAGCAATTAACAACATTAAGATAATTAGTGACCATTTGACATTTTTTTTTAATTGCTATTAAATTAATTAACTTTAATAATGAAGATGAACCGTAAATAATTAAGGAGGTATAGTTAATTGTTGAAATTTAATTAGTTTACTCTAATCAATAATTGAAATCTAAATCTTTTTTGAAAGGTAAATTTAAATATCAATTAGCAATTGATTAAAAAGAAGGAAAAAAAATCTAAACAATTTAGTAATTGTTATCAATATAATCACAGAATTCATGGTTAATTATTGTTTGTTACATCTAAATAAACAATTATAATCACGGAATCTATTGTGATGATTATATTACAAAAGTTTGATTCAATTCAATTGATTGTTGATTTTTTCGTGATTAAATCATCAATTGTTTTAATCATGATAATCATTATGATAATTATCATTATGATGATTAAATTGTGCTCATCGATATGCATGATTAATCAATTTAACAATTTCCCAATCGAGAAGTAAGTTGATTAATAAAATATAGTAAAACAATCAAAATTAATCAACAACCAAGGATCATCTTTTAATCCAATAAACCAAATGATGAACCAATTAATTGTTAACAATCAATGAAAATTGAACAAAACATCAAATTCATCGGTATAAAATGGTTAACAGTTAATTTTAATTCAATTGTAAAGTGACTTTGACCTAATTGCTGACAATTATCATCACCCTATCCCAACAATCAACGCTAATCATAATCAGATTTTAGCACAAAAAAGTTTATTAATTGAGTTAATCTTTGTTTGTTGTTAATTTTTGTTTTCTGATGGTTTTAACAATCAAAATTGTTTACCAACTAAATCAACCAAACTAATATGTAACTGATTGATTGATTAGGATAAATTGTTGCTGCTTCTTCAGCTTGATTATCATCGTGATTAGTACATGAACAAAATGATTAAACGTAACAATTGAAATTGTTTAAGGTTAACAATTAACATCATAATAATAACAATAATCAGTTTTGAGACAAGGATTGTTATTTATTATCAACTGTAACCATCAACGTCGTAATCAAATTTAACTACAATAAAGAGAGAAATTAAATAAATTGTGATACAAGAAAATTAAGCAAAAAGATGAACTTTAATTTGTTCCAATTAAATTTAATTTTATGTTCAATTCACAAGATTGACAATTACATTGAAAAGGAAACATTTAATCACAACAGAAATTAATACCTACCTCTGAACAGTAACAGCAACAATTAACTTTTCATCATTCAAACTAATCAACTTGTTAACATCTAAAGCCAACCAACAATTAGCTGATTATGTCAAACAATTTACATACACAATATATAATTAGACAAAAGGAGAGAGAAAAAAGTTTAATCATGACAATTAAATATTAAAAATTAACTGATTGATTGTTGATCTCAAAGATTATTGATCATATTTTGTTAAAACAGATGATTAAATCTAATGTATTGAAAGGAAATGATGAAAGTTGATTGTTATCATTGGAGTGATTAACTAATTCATTTAAAAAAGAGGATATATTAATCACTATTTATTTGGGACTTCCTTTTTGTATGATAACAATTAAGATGACGATGATGATGATGGCGATAGGGAAGAATCGTCAAGTAAAATTGATTGTAAATATATAAATTGTTGGTACGATAAATTGTCCAAATTGTAAAGTTAATAAATTATTGAGAGACAATGAGTTAAGTATAAGGTTAATATTTAAATGAATCAAAAAATTATTATGCTTCATTATTATTAAGCATATTATTAATTGTCCATAATTGTTTTGACAACGGAAAAAAATGCATCACAGCAAATCATCATAATTTAAACATTGATTGTTAGTCTATTGTATTGTTATTTCAATAGATATGATGATGATAATAATGATGATGATGATGATGATTACGATGATAGGAGGGAGAAATAGCAAAGTGGCAAGAGAGAGAGAGAGAGAGAGAGTGGGTGAAATAAGGCTGATTGAGTGATTAAATAATTTGAACGTTTGTTTGTTTGACAATTTACTAAATGTATTTTTCTAGTAATAGTAGTAATGACACAATCGCCAATTTCATTTTCTTTGCAACAATGGAAACACTATGATATAATAATAATATGATAATGACAATTAAGTTTTTGTCTCATATATTAAAGGGGAGAGAGAGAGAGAGTAGGGTGGGAGAAGGGAAAAGAAGATGAGAGGAAGAGGTTTTTTTGGGTGTGGATGAGGATTGAGTAGAAAGAGAGAGAGAGAAACAAAATAGGGAAGACAAGTAGTTATTGATTGTAATAGTTGATACCTAATATGATATCATAAATGAGCTAAATATTTGTTTTTGTTTTTGTTTGTGACATGAGCTTCATCTGAGATTTCATGATTCATGAATAAAAGGCACTAAGGAAGGCACAAAATGATTGCAAATGAGAAAGAGAGAAAAAGAGATTTGATTTTGAGAGGGAAGAGTTAGAGAGAGAGAGAGAGAGAGAGAGATTGTAAATAGCTTGAGGTTAAAGATGAGCGATGATTGTTGGCATATATTGCGTGTTATGTGTGGTTGAAGTTTTTAATTGCTCTAGTTTGTTTGTGTGGTTGTGATTGATTGCAATTGATTGTTTGCTTATTGTTGGTAGTATTGGTAGTAGAAGTAGTTATAAGTCTTAATAGTAGTAGAGATAGTGGAAGTAGTAGTGATAGTAGTAGAGTGGTAGTAATAGTGGTCCTAAGTTGCTGGCCTTTGGTAAGGGTGATCTCGGACGCTGGGTGTCCGCCTTGCTTTGCCAGGACCTGCAGGGTGGTGGTTGGGATCGTGGATGAGAGTCAGAGAGATGGGAGGAAGGAGGAGGAATGGGTGATGAGGATGAGGAATCGACGAGGAAATTGTTTGTTTGTTTTAAGGTAAAATTTTGATAATTGAAATTATCAAATGAAGATGATGACGATTGAAAAATATACCAAAAATAGTGACCATTTGATTGTTTAGTAGTTATAAAAGAGACGATGATGATGATGATAAATCAAGAAGAGGAGGATTGGGAAGGTGGGAGGAAGTGGGTAGAAAGAGAGAAAGAGAAAGGGAAAAGAAAAGAAAGAGAAGAAAGGAAATGTAAGTTTCGTTAGTAAAGTTATTAAAATATAAAATTAATTTGATTTGTTTTTGAAAGATTTAGATTAAGATTATGATTGTGAGAGATTAAGGCAAAAGTTGAAAAATTAAGATAAAAAATAGTAGTCATTTTACAGAGATAATTAAGATTCGAGTAGTTATATTGAGAGAGAAAGCAATTGATTGGAATTGATTAAAAAAGTTAGTTTCTCTTTCTCTTCCTCTCTCTCTCTCCCTTTCGCACAATTAGGAAATTGAGTAATTAAAAGGGAAAATCATTGTAAGTTAATTAAGAGAAAAATAGATTGATTAGCGAAAAGGAATTAAGGAAAATTGGAGGATTTTGATTGGAAATGATTATGAATGAAAAGGCAATCAAGAGGATGGAAAAAGTTTGATGAGATGAAGAGAAAACTACTGATCAAAGTTCTGAAATAATTTAGTTAATCACAGAAAAAGAAAAGAATTAAATAAATTATATGAACAAAAAAGGAAATAAAAAGGGAAAGGAAGATAAATCAATGATTAGTTGATTATCGAGCAAACTATTAAGCCAATTGAAGATAATCTGAGATTAACGAACAAAATTTTGATTGCATTTTGATTTTAAGATTCTGATAATTGTTTTTTTTTGGATAATTTTGAAATCTTTTTATAAATTTAAATAAAAATTGAATGTTATACAAAAAAATTGGTTCCAATAGATTTCATCTGAAATTTAAATTAAAAAGGTTTGAATCTCAACAATCTTCACAGGGAGAGAGATACAAAATATATACATATATATGCTGAATAATTTGATTCAATTGATTTTTTTGGGTGTATGTGATTGCATAGCATATATATGTATACATTTACGATATAATATAATATATATGGTGATAGGTATAATAATAATAATATAAATCGCTCAGCATTTGGCTTATTAAGTTTGCACAGGGGAAAAAACAAAAAAAAATCAACTGAGAGAGAAAACGAAAACGGGAAGAGAAAGAGAAAGAGAAATGGGAGAAGGAGAGAAAGAGAGAAAGAGAGAAATAGAAAAGAAATAGAGATTCAATTATCGGCTGAAAAACCCACCGGTTGTATCTCCTTGTGATGCTACTTGATATTCTGCTAACAATGGCGAAGTTAGTGCGGCATATTGATGAAAATCATATGGTGCATATAAAAATCCAGCATCAGCTGGTCCAAGCATAGGAGGAGGAGCTGTACTTCCGTTAAGTAGAGTGGTGCTTGTTGGCACATGAATATGGCGAGGAGAAAATATAAGTGGAGTACCAAGAGATGTTGCTGTGTGATGTGTACGAATTGGTGTTGTTAGAGCAATAGGAGGAGCTATTAGTTTCATGTGCTCACTTTCAATACCTATTTGGGTTTAATTTGGTTGATGATGGAAACATGATGATGATGATAAAAGTGTTAAGGATGATGATTTAACAACATTACGAAGACAAATGGAGGAAAAATTCAACAGGAGATGAATGATGATTGAGTGAGAGTGAAAGATGATTGTGAATGAAAAAGTGATTATCATCATGAGAACAACATGAGAAGCAGCAAAAGTTTCAGGCCAAAAAGTGTAATACCAACAACCGGAGTATTTAAGGATCATCGGCATCAAACAAAATAAGTTGATCATGATCATCAATATTCATAAGTGATTGGGTTTCCAGTTTGTGCGAGTTTTGTGAAACCATGAATTGGTCCATTGGGCGCCGAGTGGGTGAGGCAAATACACACGAAAAGGGAGAAAAGAGAAAAATAATTTAGATGAGAAAAAAAGTGTCGTCAGTTAATTGATTGTTGATCATTA